CCCCCCCCCCCCCCCCCCCGAAGTAGAATAGTTCTTCAGAACTTCAGGCAAAAGCTTAGAGCAGGAGTAATCAGGGACAAGATACTTACTCCCTTTTCCATATGAGGCAAAGGAGATGGGAGATGGTGTATGCCTGAGTCACCCTAATGTACACACACATTACCAATTCAGAATTCACACTGTGGAACAAATGTATATAGCAGCTGAAAGTGAGATTGGGATAAAATCTGTAGCTGGAAAGTAGCAACCTTACAGATGAATACTAACTCCTTAGCTGCCAAAAAGCCTCATGCATTTTGGTGAAATCATACAGATTTACTGACGCCAAGGAGCTGGTCTTTATGGTTTTAAAAAGCTAGGATCCATTAGAGCCATACTTCTGTGAAAGTTGTTATTCTAAGTTTAAATATCTTTAAGGTATCCTTAAGGCTTTCTAAGTTTTAGTACCTGAGTTTAAATAACTGATCTCAGTTAGTAAAAGTCCCATTCTGTGAGGAGATACTTGACGGCTCCTGAGAGGAATCATGGTATCAAACCCCCTATTCTTTCAGCAGGGTAACTTCCTCTGGCTCCTCCTAAATTTCATCTCATGGGCAGGATATTTAGCCATGCCTAGAAAAGGAACCTTACAGTCATGGAGGGCAGAGCTGATACATTTCCAACGCAACCAAGCACTGCTCAACAGCAAAACTGCATTGGCAGGTAACAGTGCAATGAAACTCTTCCACATCATTATTTAGTACAGGAGACAGCAGTCCAAGAAGTCTATTTTCTCTGGGTGTTATTGGCTACTGAAGATGTTCTACTGCTTTTAGAACACAGCAGGGTTCATGTATTCTTCTATACTCAAAAGCACCAATTACAGAGATTAAAGGGCCTGATTTAATGGCTGGGCCAGCACTGGACTTTAGAGGACTTCTAAATTTGCAGCCCCTTTGCAGCTTCATTAACATAATTGGCACAAGGACTCACTTAGAGCTACTTAAGTTGTTTATATAGATGCAGCATATCAACTAACCCCTTTGGAGCCCTTGTAGAGTCAGGGGCATCCTCAAAACTGTAAAGGGACCTAAATAACACTTTTACTATACCACTGAAGTAGACTCCTCCTAGGTGAAGCAGTTGCTGAAAGCAAATGCTTGATTACTTCAAAAAGTGTACACACCTTGTTGGATTCTGCTAAGCATTTATCTTCTTCTTACACATCAGTAGGCATACCCACACTAGTTATATTAAAAGACACAGTGCTCAGTATGGACATTAAAACCATGCTAAGGAACTACCTTATTCTAACACAGAACATTTCTTGAAATATCCTCTCATAAATAATTGTAGTTCAGGCCTTATTTTCAAAGTGCAGGATAATTATCAGAATTACTTATAAAAGATTTGGGTCACTTCAGTCAAGTGTACCTCCAACTGTTAGGTATAATTGCAAAAACATTAACTACCCTGGGTACATTAACAAAAACAGGAAAACATGAAGACAAATAGAGACATACTAAAACCTTTGTCTCTTTTCATACTTTCATCCATTAAGAGGCACCTAAGTTAAATCCTCTGGGTGAATTTTATTGACTTTCACAAACAGCATTTCGCCTTGTATATGGGTTACATTTGATGATTTTGACATGAAAAGCATTTTTAAATGTTTTAGAGAGAGGAACTGCATTAAAATGGGTTTAGAAACATAATCAAGCTGACCTCACTTTTGGGCTTTCTAAAACACTAAATAACAACCATGAAAGATCTGAATTTTTCAGTATAGTCCTTAAACAAAAAATAAGGCAGCTGAGTACTGTACTGCTTCAGGAAGAGGTGAAAAATTCAGAGTCTTACCTTGCCATGGACCTATTTCCTATAGCTTCCTCCTCTCCCCTCTCTTAGGGCAGGGTGTGAGAGAGGAAGAGAGAACAAAGTACCACATTTATTATGAATCTGGCTTTCATTAACTAAGTATATTATGATTTTATTAAAAACAGACATGAAAAATCTACTACACATTTGCAGCAGGTGATTTTCAAAATCTCATAAAGAACACAAACCAAAACTATTAGGAAAGCCTCAAAGGGTTTCAAACCCATTTAACCTTTTGGCTCTCGACACTGTAACCACCACCATTTAAAATTACTTTAGGACTGATGAAATGATACATGTGACAGATGCTGACAAGAAATAATCTGTCACTACAGATACCTATGAACTAGCTATTCCTTCCCCACAGAAACTGCATATTCCAAACTGAAAAGCCATCTGTTTTTCCAGTCACCCTTATTAGAGAAAAAAAAAGAACAAATACTAAATTTCATAATCAAGTAAGTCACCTCTCAAAAAAGAAAAAAAGATGAATTTTCAGTGCAAAAGATGAAATGGTTAAAAACTTTAAGGGAGAATGGAAGTA